GTTCCAATGGAACCACCAATATTAACACTTGTAATAGCCCTTAAAACACAAGCCTCTGTAATAGAAAAAAAATTACTTTGAGGATAAAATTCAAGAAGTTGCTGAGGAGACGGCCCAAATTAAAGAGTTCATTCAAAAACAAAATCAGGAAATTAGAGAAGATATTATCATGGCAGTCCAAGGTCTGGCAGGCCATATTGAGGCAATAGATGAAAAAGTGGAAGAAATTAAGCAGTCCAATGAGAATTTGGAAAATAAAATGGGAGATGTCCAGAATAAGATGGAAAGAGCTGAGGCCGATGTGATAATGATACAATATAGAGATATGGAATTTGCTTTGAGAATAAGAGGCCTCAAAGAAAATAAGCAAGAGAATTTGAGAGATTTTTTCAGAAGCATTTGCACAGATAATGGGAGATCAAAAGGCAAATCTTGAATGGCAAATTGACAAAATTTACTGTGTCAATTCATGGGTTGCCAGACAGAAACATCTACCAAGAAACATTTTATTTTACAACAAGGAGAATACGTAATGAAATGCTACAAGTCACCTTTAAAAATAAACTTCAAGTGCAGGGGCAGGAGGTTTTAATACTGAAAGGAATCCCCCCCAAAATGTTGAGAGCCAGAAGGGATTATGCCTTTCTGGTGGAAGAACTGAGAAACTGTCAGATACAGTATAGATGGGAGGTTCCAGCTGGACTAGTGGTGAACTATTCAGGAGAGAGATATCGTCTTAACTCAGTGTGGAAGGCAAGAGATTTTTACACCAATGTACTAAAGGCTGGATGCCCACAGTCCCCAGAAGCTAGAAGGAAGACGGAAACAGAGGGGGCAAGAAAGGGGGAGAAGGAAGAATTGTTGACACAGGCCCAAAGGGGAGCTTTGATTACTCAAGAAGATTTAATACAACTTTCAACTACTGTTCAAGCCTTGGAGATAGAAGAACCTAAAGATCAAAGACAGACCCGAGCGGCAGCCAAGCGTCAAGAAGAATTAAGAGTGCAGCAACTTCAGATGATTCAAGAAACTACCAAAACAGAAGCAGTGGGAGGAGCAAGGCCAAAAAGCAAAACGCATGGAGATTTCCAGCAGATTCTCCAAAAGCTTCAGGGGGCCAAGAATGGCAACTAGATTTCTGACTTGGAATGTTAATGGCCTAAATTCACCACAAAAGAGGAGAAAAATATTTCATTATTTGAAACAGTTTTAAAAAAAACCTGAAAGGACCTTTTGGGGGGGAACTGCTGCTTGTTCCTACCCGACCTGTCCTGATATTGTTCCTGCCCCAGAAAGTACTGCTGCTGGGGACATGAAAATCCAAATCCGGTGTCTGGCCCCCAAAAGGATGAGCCGCAAAAATAAGGCGGCGGGCAGGAATCCGCTTGCCAGGATAGGGATGGCAGGATCTTATGTTTGTTTCTGGACTCGGTTAGGATAGGATCCAAGGAGTCTCCCAACAACTTGTCCCCTATGAACGGGGCGGAGCCTAGTCTCCACTTATGCCTGGCGTCAGCCTGCCACTGGCGGAGCCACAGGAGGCGTCAGGTTGCCACTGATGAGGCGATGGTCTTAGATGCAAACCTCACTGTGCTAAGCCTGGCATCTGCAGAAAATTCAACCGCAGCCATCAATTTGTTTATGTCTTGACGGGATCTTATGTCCCCTGCGGGGATTCTCTCCTGCAGATGTCGCAGCCAGAGCAGGGAGGCCCTGTTGAAAAAAGAGGTGGCCATGGATTCTTTGATAACCCACGTGGCTGCCTGATGGGCCTTTCTTAGCAACTGCTTGGCCCTTTTATACTCAGCCTGGAAGGCGTCCTCCAGAGTACCTGCCATGGCAGAAGGTGCTGCTAATGCTGCTACTGGGGCATCCACCACTGGCATTTGAAGCGCCTTGGTAAGGTCAGGGCCCGTGTTGTAAAACCTCTTATCCAGACTGCTGGGATTTGCCCTTGCCTTTGGATGGCCCATTGCCTCTGCACCACATCAAGAACCAGCCTAGGTGCAAGGAATCACTTCCGTTTCTGTGACTGGTTCCGAAAAAAGCGAATCTGTAGGAGTGTCTGATCATGAGGCCAGACAGTCAGATTCGTTCCCAGGCGTGCAGTATTCTTTGCTTTATAAAGCAGAGACTTGAATAATGATGGGCAAAAGAGGCCAGCAAGGGTTGGTTGCTCTTGTCGTAGGCCCTCGTCCTCAGATAGTTCTAGGTCTTTTTGAACCTCTTTCTCTGAGTGTGAGGAATGACTCTACTTGGAAGACGTTGGGGAGTATGTCTCCTGGGGGCTAACAAATCCCCTGAAACATGGGTCACCTGTTGATGACCAGTATGCATGGGAAATTCCGACTGCACCAAAGCAGCTCTTTGGCTTTGCATTAGGCCAGATACTTTTCCTGCTTAATTGCCTCAGAGATTAAAATACCCATATTGGTTGGAATTTGAGGCTCTTGGCTGCCCCTTGGATGTAGCCCTGCAGCTGTGGGGCTGAAGGTTGTCTCTCTGGAAGGAATTCTCTGCTCTCAGGAAGCCACTGTTGCCAAGTAAATTACAGCCTGGAAGAGAAGGCTGCTCTCCAGCGCCATCTGGAGACCATGTCTGAGAAGGCAACCTGTCAAATGGTTCAGGCTGTGCTTCCAATGGCTGCAAGACATAAGGGCGGGAAATATCCTCCCTTGCCAAGCCCCAAGGAAGTGGCGTTTGAGCAAACTCGTTCACGCTTACCCCTGTCAGAATTGCCTCTTTGCAATCTGACTGCCGATCTGCGGACTTCAGCGGGCTTGAGCTAAAAGCTTGTCACACTGGGAAAAGACCAGCAGCTCCACCAGTCGAGACCAGGAGCCAGCCAAAATGCCTTTCTCCAACCAGTCCCTGTGGTGAGGATGAATCCAGGAATCAAAGGATCAACTCTAAACACATCCGTCCTTAGCTGAGACTGAGTCAAAAAGCTGGGGGACACAAGCAGAGGAGGCGTGTCATCACAACTTTGGCAGACTCAGTCCAATCAGCTAGCAGAAGGAGTTAACCCATTCCTGGAAGCTATCTACACCACAATGGAGAAGAACTCTGTAAATGTAAATTTTTATTTTGAATACTTTTGTATATTTATACATATATTCTTATAAAGTGAAAACTAAATACTATTGCCTTAAAGTTCTGATATAAAAATTAAATTAGTAGTCTTAAGATTACTCGCTCGCACAGAGAGGGCCTCCTCAGGGTGCCGTCGGCCAGACAGTGTCAGCTGGCGACCCCCAGGGGGAGAGCCTTCTCTGTTGCAGCACCCGCCCTCTGGAATGACCTACCCCCTGAGATACACATGATATCAGACCTCCGGACTTTTCGTCGGGCCCTGAAAACACACCTATTCCATCTAGCCGGGCTGGCTTGATCCCATCCTCTCAGTTTTAATTGAATTTGGTTTTAATTGGATGGTTTTTAATATCTTGGGCTGAAATTATTTAATTGTTTTTAAATTGTTTTTAAATTTTATGTGCAATGTTTTATCTTGGCTGTACACCGCCCTGAGTCCCGCAGGAGAAGGGCGGTATAGAAATAAAATAAAATAAAATAAATAAATAAATAAAAAGCAATCTATGTTTCATATCAAACTCTCAAAATATAGCAACTCTTTTATATAAAGAACCAACCAGAAGATCTCATCTGCTTTTCAGTGAAGGGTTATAACCATGAAATGAGTGATGGTATTATAAGAGAGAAGTCTTTTTCTAAATAAGATATTGTCTTTAGGATTTTTGCAATGAACATCTCAATCATAAACGTATAACAGAGGGGCCAAGATTACAAACCTCAAGCATTAAAATCAGTCATGGTTAACAATCATAGTTAACCGTGATTGTTAACAGCTATTTCTTAGTCCAGTCAGTTTATATATTAGGGCTTGAAATAGGCAGATGTAATAGGCAGATTTTCCATTTTTTAAAAAAAAATATAGTTGCTACTCTATTCTTGAAAATAAAATTGCATTTAATTCTTTTTTTAACGTTAAATTTAATTCCCTTCACATTTGGAGGGGTACAGATATATGTTACAGAATTTAAGTTTAAGTTTAAATTTAATGCGATTTATATGCTGCCCTATCTCCAATAGACTCAGGGCGGCTCACAACAATAAAATGCACAATTGCACATTAAAACAATATGAAATTAAAAGTCCAAATTAAAACAATTTAAAATCAATTTAAAACTATTAAGAACCCCCCCCCCCATCAGTCCTTCAAATCACGGCGGAACGAGCGAAGGTCAGAGGCCAACCGGAGCTCCAAAGGAAGTTGGTTCCAAAGGGTGGGTGTGCCCACAGAGAAAGCTCTCCCCCTGGGGGTCGCCAGCCAACACTGTCTGGCCGACGGCACCCTGAAGAGGCCCTGTCTCTGGGAACGCACCGGGCGATTGGAGATTGTTGCTGGCTGCAGGGGGTCCAACAAGTATCCCAGACCTAGGCCATGAAGGGCTTTATAGGTGATAACCAGCACCTTGAACCTCACCCGAAGGGCAACCGGTAGCCAATGCAGGTTGCGCAGGAGGGGCGTAACATGGGAGTGTCGGGATACTCCCATCACAACCCACACGGCCGCATTCTGCACCAGTTGAAGCCTTTGAGTGGTTTTCAAGGGCAGCCCTAGGTAGAGAGCGTTGCAGTAGTCAAGACGGGAGGTGACCAGCGCATGAGTAACGGTGCGTAGGGCATCTTGGTCCAAGTAAGGGCGCAGCTGATGCACAATCCCAGTAAACATTCCACCAACAGACACACACATCCTCTGTAAATAAGCAAAGCCTCAAGATTTCCTTCAGGACACATAACATATGTATGTACAAACTATTTGGATAAAGCAAAGAACTTTTTTTCCAAAGTATTGCACAATTTAGTAACATAGTAAACTGTGGAGTATTTTATTAGTTTAATCAGTTAATTATATTGGAAATTCTGCCATCTGTGAAAGTTTTCCTGACAATCTATTGCTGTATTTTTAATGAACTTACCTTCTTCTTGTCTCTCATGGACCCTTTGCCTCGGACCATTATCTTACATCCTGTTTCAGCTTCAAGTTGTTTAGCTGTTAGCCCTCTAGGCCCAAGAATTCTTCCAACAAAATTGAACTGAAATTTTAAAGAAAAAAAATAATTGCTCAGAACACAGTGAAAATAATTAACAACCAGCATTCTGTAAAACTTTGCCCTAGCACATGCCTATCATTCTGAATTATTCCTTCAAAACAATGAAAAAAAACTTTATTTGTTTGTTAAAGTTAAAAAATGCACTAGAAAATTGAAAAAAGCTAGTGTGGATATAGTAAGTTACAACAGAGGCTTAAATTACAATATATCAGTTACCGTAATTGCTAAACAATTGCACATGTTAAAGGAATTGTAAATGCAACAAATTCAGTGAGCGCAGATATCCAGTACTTACAAGCTAGGAGGAGGAAAGTATTATCCTTTCAAAGGGTGTGCAAGTCACCTAAGAAAAGCATTATTTGGTAAACTTGCCACATCACAGAGAATGTGTGCAGAAGTACAGGAAAGACTATTTTTTTCTAGTGCAACATTGTGATTTAATTTTCCTTCTTATAGTGAAGGTGGGAAAACATTGTAATGGTGAGAGTGAAAGCTGTTCTACAGGATGGACACAGATTGCTTGATAAACACTTGACAGGGAAGAATGATCTCTCCAAAAAGCACATTTACCAGAGAAGTAAGATTTTATTTCATGCTGGATATCAGTATCTATGGTATCACCCATTGTTTCAATTCAGGCCAGGCTTTCTCAGGACCATGCCAACCAAGACAATGGGGTCAATGGCAGATGATATATCAAAGAATATGACTGGCTTCTATGACAGCACAAAAGTCTTACTATATGGAAATCACCATCCCCAGCATCCAGCAATTTGATTTCAAATGGCAAAGTTACATTTATTTATTTATTTTTTATTTTTATTTTTTATTTTTTTATTTGTATACCGCCCTTCTCCCTGAGGACTCAGGGCGGTGAACAGCCAAATAAAAACATCAAATACAAATATTAAAATACAGTTAAATATATATATATAAATTTGGCCCCGTTAATTAAAAACGATAAACAAAACAATTAAAAACACTTAAAAAAATTAGGCCAGCCCGGCTTGCTGGAAAAAGAAGGTTTTAAGGGCACGGCGGAAGGCACTGAGGTCATGGATTCTCCTTATCTCTGGGGGCAACTGATTCCAGAGGGTAGGTGCCCCCACAGAGAAGGCCCTCCCCCTGGGGGTCACCAGCCTGCACTGTCTGGCTGATGGCACCCCGAGGAGGCCCTCTCTGTGGGAGCGCACGGGTCGATGGGAGGTCGTCGGTGGCAGCAGGCGGTCTCGAAGATAGCTAGGCCCTATGCCATGGAGCGCTTTAAAGGTGATAACCAACACCTTGAAGCGCACCCGGAAGACCACCGGGAGCCAGTGCAGCTCCCGCAGGAGCGGTGTTACATGGGAGCGCCATGCTGCTCCCGTCACTACCCGCGCTGCTGCGTTCTGGACCAGTTGGAGCCTCCGGGTGCTCTTCAAGGGGAGCCCCATGTAGAGAGTGTTGCAGTAGTCAAGGCAAGAGGTTACGAGGGCATGAGTGACTGTGCACAGGGAATCCCGATCAAGAAAGGGCCGCAACTGGCGAATCAGGCGAACCTGACAAAAGGTCCCCCTGGTTACAGCCATCAGATGTTCCTCCAAGAACAGCTGCGTATCCAGGAGGACTCCCAGATTGCGAGCCCTCTCTGTGGGGGCCAAAGACTCGCCCCCAATAGTCAGTGATGGAGTCAACTGACTATATCGGGATGCCGGGAACCACAGCCACTCAGTCTTCGAAGGGTTGAGCTTGAGCCTGTTCCTCCCCATCCAGATCCGTACAGCCTCCAGGCACTGGAACATCACTTCACTACATGCTGGCCTTTACAGAAATTAGGTCCAATACTAGTATTGGTAGAAAATGGGATGTACAAGGGGGCATTTCCACAAAAACTCTCAAAGTTGAACTAAACCAGCTCTACAGAATCCACTCACAATCTCTATACCATCTAACAGGTGGACGATGACCTGAAGTCTGAAAATTTCTACTGCAGCTGGGATATGATTATTGGTTATCACCATTAGCAAAATAAAAAATTATATTGAAAGTTTATCAGTCCTAGCGGTGATGTCTCTCTTCTGCGGATTCCAGATCAATAAGGCTTAGAATAACATCTATAAATATTTAAAGAACTCAATTTGATTAATGCTAAAGACATTCATTTTTTAAGAGTGGCAGGAATAATAAGCCTTTTAGGAAAGATGACTAGTAGATTAGTACTTATTAATTACTAGCAGATCACAAAAATTATCTCAGATCTACTCTGTGTTACCAAGAAAGTTGCTACATTGGAATATAGATGAGTAAAACCAAATCTATTACTTAATAAGGAAGAAATTTAAGATTTGTCAGAAGCAGCTTGCTTTGCCTATTTGTGAATGTTGTTTAAAAAAAACACCTGAAGGGGCGTTGGTCCTACCTGAGACGCTCCTTCTTGTTAGGTGGAGACAGCAGTCAGTGTGGGTAGTACTCACTCAATCAGCTTGAAGGACTGAGTCTGTCAATAAATTTAAATCCCGCCCTTGTTGCTGGGCAGACCAGCTTTTGGCGAAGAACTGAAAGAGACAGACTCGGCATGTGGGAGAAGAGTCAGAAAGTCAAAGAGCGGAAAAAGAAGAAGACCAGACTGGCATAGGGAGGGTCGGGCTGCTGTCTCCACCCAACAAGAAGGAGCGTCTCAGGTAGGACCAACGCCCCTTCTCCATTGTGGGTGGAGACAGCAGCCAGTGTGGGACATACCCAAGTTCACTGTCCCGAAATCTGGGGAGGACCAGGCTGGTCCGAAACATCCTCCCTAGAAACGACCCACTGCAACACCTGCCGCCCAAACACGGCCTCTCCCGAAGCAAATTTGTCCAGTTTATAGTGGCATATAAACGGTGCTAGCGAAGTACATGTAGCCGCCCGACAGATCTCCAGCAATGGGGCCTGAGTAGCCCAGGCCGCCGACGTAGCCGCGCTGCGGGTGGAATGTGCAGTCACACAGCAAGGTCACAGAAGAGAATGGAAATCATAGGCCGAAGTGATCATCTGCCAGATTCAGCAGCCTATGGTAGAAGACGACAGCTTGTGACCTAAGGAGATGGGGAGGAAAGAGACAAACAACGCCTCCGATTGTTGTAAGATAGCATTCCTCTTAAGATAGACTCGTAGTGCTCGCCTGACGTCCAAAGTGTGCCAACGTCGCTGACGAGGATGAGACGGTCGTGGACAGAAGTTCGGGAGAATGAGCTCTTGTGAGCGGTGGAAAACCGAGTTGACCTTTGGCACGAAGGTAGGATCCAAACGGAGGACCACGCGATCCGCATGGAACACGCAGAGATCGGCATGGGTGGACAGGGCAGCCACCTCCGAAATGCGGCGAGCAGAGGTTATGACCACCAAGAAGGCAACCTTACAAGACAGCAACCAAAGAGATGTCGTCCGCAGGGGCTCATATGGAGGCCCCATAAGCGATTCCAAAACCAACGGAAGATACCAGGTAGGATAACAGTGCAGGACCGAGACAGGTTCGTGGCGCCTCGGAGAAAGCGATGAATCAACGGATGCTGTGTCAAAGACGAGAGAGACCCGCAGGTAAGCAGAGGAAATAGTCGCCACCTGGCGACGCAAGATGTTAGGCAACAGCCCGTCAGAGAGACCTCGCTGGAGGAACACCAGGATATCCACAACAGAAGGCTGGAGAACAGGCACACCCATTTGGCCACACCATGAGCAGAAGGCCCGCCAGGTAGCAAAATAGATTCGGTCTGTTGAAGGGCGACGTGAGGCCTGGATTGTCCGAATAACGTCGCCCGGTATGTTTGCACCTCTCAAAGAGAGCCGCTCAACCTCCAAGCGGTCAGACTGAGCCAAGGAAGATCCGGATGGCTCAAAGCACCCTGTGTAAGAGCGTCCACTTCAAGAGGAATGCGCCAGGAGGGAGCGACCAAGAGGGAGACCGAGTCCGCAAACCATGCCCTGCGGGGCCAGTGAGGAGCCAAGAGGACAACCTCCGCCCGTTCATCCAGGATCTTGCAGATGACCCTGGGAAGCAGAGACGTCGGAGGAAAAATGTACAAGAGGCCCTCCGGCCAAGGAGCTTGAAGGGCGTCAGTGGCCTCTGAGTGAGATTCCGGAAACCGGCCGAAGAAGCGGGGCAGTTGGGCATTTGAGTGTGTTGCAAAAAGGTCCGCAACCGGAGTGCCGAACCGAAGGACCAGCTCTTGGAAGATCCATGGATGAAGACGCCACTCCGCATTGTCAACTTGCTGCCGGCTCAGCCAGTCCGCCTGAGTATTGGCGACCCCGGATACGTGCTTCGCTCGAAGGGATCCGAGGTGGCGTACCGCCCAGAGGCCCAATTTCATGGCCACAGACAGCAGGGACTTCGACCTGGTACCCCCTAACTTGTTCAAGTGCGCCTTGGCCGTAACATTGTCTGTTAGCATAAGGACATGAGCCCCGGATGCAAGATGGCGAAACGCCCTGAGGGCGAGAAAGACTGCTTGCAACTCCAAGCAAATGATTGGATGATGAGCCTCCAATTCGGTCCACGTTCCTTGCGCCAGCTGACCCTGGCAGTGGGCACCCCAGCCTCGAAGGCTGGCGTCCGATGTCACCACCACCCTCTGGGGCTCAAGGAAGAGACAGCCCACCGACAGGGCCAGGGACCGCCACCACCGGAGGGATCTGCGAACTGAGGAGGGAACTGGGATCGGCCTGGTTGACGTGCCTCTGCCCGCCTTCTGTAAAGGTAATAGAAACCATTGAAGCTCCCGGGCGTGAAAGCTGAGCCCAGGGAACAATGGCTATGGCCGATATCATCTTTCCCAAAAGTTGAGAAAGAACGTAAGGGAAAACCCCTCAATTCTAGACACCAAATCTCGTAAGTTATCTTGGTGTTCAGGGGATAGAAAAACCCTACCCTGAACTGAATCAATCAGGGCCTCTAAATGGATCAGGGAGGTAGAAGAAACCAAGTTGCTCTTCTCCAGATTGACCGAAAAACCATGGGAAGCCAA